TGGTGTAATAGGCGTTCCACGCCTCACCACCATACTTTTCCATAGCAACATTATGGATGCCTTCGCCGTGGCGCAGAAATACCACAAGTTTTACTTGTGCACCTCCAGTTCTCTCCATAGCCAATTCTGCTTGTACATCTTGCCATTTCTTTCCATCCAAAAGACCCATGTGAGGAGGGTATGAAGGTGGTACAGGTTGATCAGGAAGTCCCTGAAGGAAATATCCTGGGACGTAGCTATAGCGAGATGACGTTGCCGACTGACCATAAACCGACGACTTCACAAAAAGCAGCACGCAGACTAGATTTAGAAACATTGGGGATAGTTAGTAGCCGTGATAACTTGAAATGGTTCATCCAGAATTTCTAGCAGTTCAGCAACGATGGGTGGCGAAGGACCAATGATTAAACACCACGCTCAGTACATGCCAAAAAGATAGGGGAGCAATCAAAAAGATTCGGGTCAAAAGACATCCATTTCCAATCCTTAGATAGCGCAATGTCTATTTTTGTCGACTTTTATGTAACAAGAGTGTGACGATTGCTACAAGTTTCTTGTAAGCACATTTGGAGTAAGAAATCGTCAGTCTTACTGTCGCCAGTGTTTAAGAGCCTGCGCCGCGTGTCTAAATTTTTCTGTATGAGTGTCTTAAACAAGACCATCAATGTATTGGGAGAGCCTATCTGTATGGGGTTGGCAGACGATAAGGCTTGGCCAGATGTCTAGGACCAGATTGAGCTTCAGCATCTGAGACGTCGCGTAAGGATAAGCTGCAAGATGTGACAAGTCGCGAATACATTGACGTCGCACTTGCAACCCAAAGCAAGGATTACGCCGCTTTTAATTCTGAAAATCAGGTACTTAGGTGCGCTTAAACTGCCATGCTACAATGGACCGCGCATCTCAAACGTACGATCGGGTGTTTGGTTGCCCACAGGGTTTTTCCGTGTCTATCGCGGAGCTCTTACGTGATATGCGGGGAGTCGTTGACTGTGACCGTCGCGTTTTGAAATTCGCGCACCCGCAGTAGACATCAGTCGCATGGCCAGTGAGGACGACTTCTCCAACGCCGCGAGACTACACACGCTGCTTTTTTTGAACGGTTTTCATGACAAAACCTTTTAACGCTCTTGTGCTAAAAGGTTTTAGTGCTTACATATGCCCGCTTTGTGCGTCCGTTTCCAATGTTCACGTGCGATTTTACAATACGATCGCAATCGGGTCGCACGATGCACAAAAGGCTTAGGTAGGAGTTTGAGAGCATTATCAGTTAAAAAATTTAGGTAATTTTCAGGCCCCCTCAGTGATCGACAGTCATTGTATGGCACTATCGACAACCTTTACGGGTCTATTCAAGACCATCTTTTTGAATTTCTGGCTATACAAAGCTTCGTAAATTTATGTTTGCAAATCGACGGGTGGAAGCCCTGAGAGGCTTCCTGACCTGCAGCTTGGACTATCTTTCTGCCAGCTCAGAAAGGCATCCCTTACGCTTCCATCGCCGAGTATTGTTGAAATCCCTCGCCACCCAAGTGAGACATCAACCTGAAGATTGAGTGGTGAAGCATTTGCTTGGAAGCTTGTCCATACGAAGAACAAAGTTTTCAGTAGACAGAAGGAAGGCAACATCTTTCCGAAATAAACCTTTTAAGCATTCGTACAGTAAGTCTAAATCTCTTGAGAAACGACATGAACAAGGTGGATCCAGATTAGATAAAGTTAACGCGATTTATTGAAGAGCTGAGTAAAGAATGCTACATGAATCATCTCGCTCGGCTCCTGAGTTCTCAAATATCACCCCGCCTGCAAAGTTAATACTGCTACAAATGTATCCAAATGCACTCTTCTAGAGCCGCAAAGAAAATATCTCAAAGGGATCGCACGAAAATAATGGTGCTCACTTGCTGCAACAAATTGAAGCTGGATCAATATCCATAATCAATCAGCATAAGACAAATAAATCAAACCAAACATCACTGAAAACACAACGTACCAATAATGTTCGATTTCTTGACGACTTTTAAAGATCACTGGCTACTGTGTAACGTTTCGATGAAATATGGCGGAAGGATCGATGGAAACACTTGCGCGATCTCAACTCGAGATGTTATATAGGTTGGGAATATTGGAGCAACATTCGAATGATGATATCGAGCGCCAGTGCATTGCGAGCAAGAGAGATGAGAAGAAAAAAGAACATGACGCCTTCCTCGCGGCTCTACCTCCACCTTCGGTGATGTGTTCAGTGCCTTCCAGGGCACTCCAGGAGTCAATTTACGATTTGGAGTCTAACAGTGAGCCAAGTCGAGAAGAGAATTGCGAATTGTTTTTCTCTTCATTGGCAGCTTCGCGGCGAAGACGACAGCTCAAGTCTCGTCGGCATCACTACCTGAACTCATCAAGCTCACTTGCGTCGTCTTCGAGCTTTCATTCAAGCAAGCAAACACGTCATGCGCTTCGATTATGGTTTCGACAATGGAAGTTCTACGTTCTTAATCGAAGAGAGAAAGATCGACGACAAGTATCTATAAACGTGCTTTCAAAACAGAATTGCTGGACCAAGTGGGCTTTTTATTCAAAGCAGCGGCAGTATCGACGTGAAAAGACGTTGCATCTTGATAGTTGGAAAGCTTCTAGAGCACTTTCCAAATGGGCACAGTGGAAACAACGACGTATTTTGCTGCGTAAATTAATCAATAGTGGGCGGCGTTCCTTTATGGGGCGATTGATCCAGCAGCGAGTTTGGAGCCGATGGGTGAAATTGACGCTACGAAGAAAGCACTTTTACCGCGTATTGGGCCTTCAGACACTTCGGCGTCACGATCGACTAGTGCGTTGTGTGTGGACTGGGCTGCGTATTCATTCATATAGAGCTCGCCACGATTCTATAGCGCTGCGCAATTGCTTGAGAGTAATGCGAAACTTCTGTTATACTCGAAAAGTGAAACATTCAAAGTTTCTGCAGAGACAATGTAAGATGAATGATTGTCGGAAGCGTCGACTTTTGCAGCGTTGGAAAGCATACACTGTTGTGTCTAGTCGTGATAGGAGATTATCGTGGAATGTTCAAAACAATTTGAAACGAAGGAGATTTCTACTGTTGTGGTGTAAAGTTGCTCGCGATATCAATCATACAGACCAGCTTCGATCGAAAGTGATATTTCGAAATCTATATCAGCATTTTCAAGCCTGGAACATTATAGCAAGAGCTATCAAACGTGGAACTAAAGTGCGTGAAAGTAGCGAAAAGCATAGTCGTAAATTCTATTTCCAAGTCCTTAAAGCCCAAGCAAAATTTGGTGCCCACAGCAAACACGTCCATCTGATGATGAACCAGAGCCGTCTCGCTACAGCTGTGAGTCACTATTATGTATGGACGACAGAGAGAAGACACATAAGAGATGCTATGAATCGAGTACGTAAAAGCTGGCAGAATCGTCTCTTACGAAGCTTATTGGATGCCTGCCGATTTAGATCTTATCGCAGAGGACTAGCAGTGAAGCAGTATTGTACAATCATCACATCGCGGTATTTGAGCAGATGGAAACAGTACTATCTTGAACGACAGACCAAAAAACTTCAGCAGAAACAAGCGAAAGCTTTATATATTGTTTTTTGCTACAAGCAAGTCATTGGTGGGCTGAAAAGCTACCAGATCTTTTGCTTGGAACAACATCAGCGAGTTGCTAAAGCTCAATCACACCTTCGGCGCCGATTGCTAAAACGAGGTGTTTTGACGTTGTGGCGCGCTGTTCATGGCAATGCAGAAAGCTCGCTGCAAGCTTATCATTTTCGTCGCAAGCTGCGGGTTAATATAAAAAAGCGCCATTTTCGGAGTTGGTTGCACATCACAAAGTCGCGAACATTCAATCGAGAGAGACTACATGAGTTGCAGAAACGTCTAAATTTGTTTTTCAAATTGGAACGCCGAACTTGGAATCGCTGGGTGAAGTTTGTTACCCATTGTCAACGACGTGATCAGTTTGATCGTCGGTATCAAGTACGCAGAAAGCATCAAATTTTACACCGGTGGAACTTTCAGGCTAAATCAAACTCTCGTTTACGTGACTGTATCCACAACAAACGCATAAGAATAACTCAAACGCGTTTTAACCACTGGAAATATTGTGTGGGAGAGTGGAAAAAGATTCGAGTCGTAACCAAGTTTGCGATAAGTGTCTACGAGAAGAACCTTTGTACTCGGCTTATTCAAGAATGGCGATCTTGCTCTTCACGCTTTCATCGAGAACGTAAAATTGGTATTTTAATCATGTGTAAGCGTGAAACAAAGCTCACGATCAAATGCTTGTTTAGTTGGCGAGGAAAGGTGTGCGTTCGTCAGTGTGTGTCTAGATTACGATGTCGTCGAGAATGTCAGATAGTGCAAAAATATTTTGCGAACTGGCATAATCACGTTGTGCTGCAAAACGATTTTGCTCGAAAGTTTAGACTAGTGTGCACAATGTATTCGACCCCGTTAATCTTAACGCGTGCATGGAATTGCTGGCATCGCAAGTACAAGAAAAATGAATGTTTGAAAGCCTTGCATAGAACTTTGCAGCATGAACAAGTTCGGCAATGTTTCTCGCGCTGGAAAGACTTTCGAATTGCTTGCTACATAATTAGAGTCTGGCATCGAATTGCATTAGCTATTTCAAACAGTACAAATAGGCTGGGGATGCGCTTACGCTGTTTCCATAAAAAGAGACGTCACGGGCTACAAAGATGGATAATCGCCGCCTGGAAAAGATTTGTCTTCATACGGAGAAGTATTCAAGAGCGACAATCGTTGCATAAGCATAAACTTCAAGGTGAGCTAATGGAAGTAACGCGTAAATTGGAGCAGGCAGCTACATTTTGTTTAAAATTGTGGTTTCGACGGTGGACAAAGGAATATGCTGTTGCTAGGAGACATTTTCATCATCATCTGTGTTCAAGTGTAATCTTATCGTGGTGGAAGGCTACCATTAATTCGAAGCAAGAAAAAGTTGTGATCAGTGCACGGCAAACGACCGACAATCCTTTATACTATCATCCTCAACATCAGCTTTATGCGATTAAAGCAAAACGAATTGACTGCTTAGCTAAACGGAAAAACAATGTTTTGGGAAAGCAAGGAAAAAAAGTGGTTGGCAAAGCTTCTTCATTGGAGTCAATGCGAAAGATGCGTCGGATGCTGGATCCTATGAATCACGTGAGCTATACAAAAGCTCGTCAGACAAGTGACGCGGATACAATGCGAAACGAGAATTGCAAGCAATTGGCGAGCAAATTGAGTGCAAAAGCCGCTTCAGGTCCTTCTGTCAATTCAAGAATTTGTCGAGGTGTTGAAAATGGGCTTGAAGGCGGCAAGCGCATACATCACGCGATGATTGTAACTTGCAGATCTTATCCTAATATTTCAAAGGCTAGTTATAGCGAAGTGCAGCAAGAACAGATGTCACCTTTGCTCGCAGCCACTAATCAAGTGGATTGCGATACTAATAATGTCAAAATTGCTAAAAGTCTCAAGAGGTCTCAGTGTGTATTACCATTTTCACCTGATCTTGAGGAAAAACAAGCGAATGTGTCATGCATCGAAAACGATTTACCTCTCTTTGACAGCGACGTATTAGATGTCAAAGCTCGCACCAATGAGACGAAACGTAACGCTATTGCCAGAGGATTTAATTCGGTTGCTGATTCTGAACAAAGGGTAAGTTCGCAAGAGTGCCATTTCAAAGCTGACAAGAATGATATTCTCGCTTCCACTACTGATCCACAACTTGATCTAGGACATTCTTGTGCATTAAAGGTTGGGTCCAATGTCAGAGCTACGAGCAGTGGCACCCAAAAGAGAACCACATCATCATACGAAGTAAAAGACTCACGGAAGAAGCCTGGAGTGCGGAAAAAACGAGGTGCAGTTCAACAGATCAAAATACTTTGTTCGAGTAGAGACGATGCAAAGCCTTTAGCAGAAATATTAAAACTTAATGATGGACCGGAAGCCTGCTCTTTGAAACGAAATGATTTCTACCATGACAATCGGCAGAACTCTAACTGGGCGGCGTCCATGATCAAGAAATTGATAGCGTTTTACGCTGACAGCATCCTGGCCAATGCTAGTAAATCGGACGAGCTAAATTCAGCACTAATTCGCGTATGCTTCCGGATGGCAAGAGACCTGGCACTTTTTCAAAATGACTTTTATGTGGAAGAGTTTATGAAAGTGTACGACGCTAGCTTTAAGGATAAGTCCACTGAAGATGGACAGATTAATCTTAACCTTTTCCTCAAGCGCTTGATCGAGAGTCATCCAGCATACCGAAAATATCTCGATACTACTCTTCACCGAACCAGAACTAAAACTGTTTTTGACTGGCTAGCCCGACATCACCTGCAATTGCATTTCAGGGACAGTGAGAGAGCAAACTATTGCTCACAGAAGACAAAATCATTTTGGAATAAATCATCGATTCCTTCTGAAATGGATGCCGCTCTGGAAAAAATGTTTATTGTGATAAAAAAATATTTACTTGTTCTTGGCCAATTATTCTTACGTCAGGCTGTTGAAAGCTCTCTATCAGCAAAGAACAATCTCAAAGACTATCGTATAAGTATCTCTGCGTTCATTAGTCTAATGAAGCAAGTGCAAATGTTCCCGCAGCTTTTTCATCGCCGAGAACTCGAAGATGCTGTATGTCTTTCCTGCTGTTCTTCCCCAGTGACCAAAGAACTGAATTTTCCAGAGTTTATCGAAACTCTGGTACGCTGCTCTTGCAATCTTCGTTGGGGTGAACTTGCAGGAGGAAAACAAGCAACCGAGACTAAAATTGGCGAAACAGTGGTCATCATAAAGTTTGTGATGCTCATCTTTGCAATGGAAGGTCAAGGCTCAGTGCTGCGAAAGCGAAATGACGATGTCACTGCAATTTTAGATTTCATAGGACAACAACAAAAGAAGAATCAAGCCGAAAAAATAATTCGTTTTCGTAAATTGTTGGCTGATAACAAGCGACGAAATAAAGAATTTTGTCAGATTCCTTCCGTGTGGAACCATATTCGGGTCCAATATTCTCCCAAGCACTCATCAATAAAGTCTCTGACTGATAGATCAAAGGATACTTTTGATGGCTTGACCAAATCGCGGGAAAATGGTATACCTCGTCAAAGCTTGCCTGAGTCATCTATGTCTGACGTTGACTCAAAGCACCTTTCTGATGATGACTTTTTCTCCGATGCGACTCATCCCGAATTATCGAACTTTGGCCCTGTTGAATGTGGCAAAGTTACAGGTGATCAAACGTACAGTATCAGTGGCAGTATTGATGAAGCTAGCTCCGTAGTATTGCCGTCAGTTTTTGATTTCGGTGCATCCTGCGCTGCTGACTCTCGCGATTTAAATCGAACCGGGTCAATAAAGTCGAGAGACGGCAAAGCTGATCCATTCAAGCCTTATAATTGTTTTTCAAAGGTCCACTCTAACAGCGTGCCCTCAGCAACGAACTTAAGAAAAGTCGAGAGTTTCATAATTGTGGACGAACAAGCGACTTCGTTGCAATCGACTGGCTTATTTAAACCTTTGAAAAAAGATGAATTCCTTCGTGAAATAGTAGACTGCATTGGAGACGTTGAGCTATTGCTAAACCAATCAACCTTTGATGGCAGCAATCACTCCAAGCTCCGTGAGTCATTTCGACCGTTTATCACATTAAACTAATCTTTTCTTTGTTGTTTTTCAGAAAACACCCAACGTAGAAACACAGTTCCAGATGTCCTATTTCAAGGCCTGCTAAACACAACATTCAGCTCGGGATATGATGAACCGTCTCTGAGCGATATCGCTGAAGATACAAGCTTAGTGTATGGCTGGCAACAGCAGATTGTTGATCCTTTCAGCACAAATGAAGACTCTGAAGTCCAAATTCGCGACCCATTGCTCAATCACCTCACAGACACTGAACGCTTTACTGAAAACAACGGTACACTGTTTTACCTGAGTGCTTTTGTGTTTTTGGACCTGATGCCATGTGTATTTTTACTAGAATACCCTGATCTGGTTACTCTTGCTGGCTTGGCGCAGGAAAATGAAGTGTGTCAACAAAAGTTTTGAGCGAAGTATAGCAAGAACTTATACTGTCGGAAGAAATTGCTCTATTGTTATACATACACTCACGAAGATATAAAGCACATTACAAAATGTAAAAACGTCTTTTAAATGGACAGACATAATTAGAAGCAATGCTTGGCTACAAAAACTCTGAATCGACGTCATCAAAAAATGGGTGGCGTAGCGCTTCTTTAGCACTGATTCTTGTGGCCGGATCGTAGCGCAGCATTGACTATATAGAAAACGTATCAGTGACAGTGTCATGAAATCGTCTAGACATCCACCATTACCTCTAACAAATTGAGTCCGCTCTCATCTAGTTGCGGGAAAAGCTCTCGCATGTTCTTCCTTTTCCACTTTGGAAAAGTAGGTGCATAGTCGCGTAACTTGGTGACACCCGGCCATGTCATTTCGTTTGGTGTGCCAAATGTTCTGTGCGAACGCACTTTCGATTAGTCTTTTGAGTTATTTAAGTGATCAGCTGTCATTGCTCACTGAAAAATGCGGTAAAGCTGATCAATTTCAGAATCTCCTGCAAAAAAAGGTTTCTTGATCACCATCTCGGCAAAAATGACGCCGACAGACCAAATATCGACTGGAGGTGAATAAATCTCTTGCCCGAGTAAAATCTCAGGAGCACGGTACCAGAGAGTCACCACCTCGTGTGTGTATTTCTTAATAGGAAGGCTAAATGCTCGTGCCAGCCCAAAATCGGCAATCTTGAGCTCACCTGTGGTATTCACGAGCAGATTCTGTGGCTTCAAGTCTCTATGCGACAGCATAGTAATTGTAAATAATTTGTACTTATCATAACATAATTTCGACGCACCGATGCATTATGCCTCGTGAATGAGAAAAAGCTAGACCTTTCAGCAATTGGTATAAAAAACTTTTGATTTGCGCAGGATCAAGTTTTCCGAGCTTGTGCTCCATGTATCGCTTCAGATCTTTTTCCATGAATTCGAATACAAGAAAGAGCTTGCCATCTTCTTGTAAACAGTCCAAGAGACTCACAATATTACGGTGCTCTAATTCGCGCAGGACTGATATTTCGCGCAACGCAGTGCTGGGAATTCCATCATCTTCCGTCTCAAGGCGGATTCGCTTGAGTGCCACAACCTGCTTCGTTTTGAGATCTAGTGACTTGTAAACGACGCCGTATGTGCCCTCGCCAATGGAGCCACCCTTTTCAATGCGCTGGTATCGGTCCATCAAGAGAAAAGGGTCAATGGGACTCCCGCGCTTTAGAAAAAGTTAATTTTTCATTCAAACACGCACCAGATGTTTTCAGGGCAGTCACGCGGGGGATTCTTTTTAGAAAGACGTTTCTTCCTATTTTGAAAGTGCATGACGCAGTGATCTGAGACTGTGCACTCGATGACCTCTGTTAACCACGTGTGATATCAGCATTCTGTCCTCAAGATTTGTTTCTTGAGGCAGTAACGAAGCATCGCCGGATAAAACTTCACATCCAAGTTGCTGGTGCGAGTACACGCATTTGATTCCATCGAACTTTACTGTAATGCTCTGTACACTCGATTGCGGCATGAGCAAGGCAAGCGTTCAAAGCTCATTTTGATTCTTCTCCCCTACGTGCGTGAAGTGAAAACCAATTCTCGCATCGATTCAATACACGTTAAACACAAAGCTTTCTTACACGATGCCCTGCAGCAAATTGCACGTACAATCGTACGGTCTCTTTTGGTGAGCCCCAATCATTGGATTATCTTACCTACAGCACCTCTAGAAGCTTACTTTTTTTGATGCAATAGGTTCCTAAGTACAGTATACCTGGTGCATGCCGCATTTTTCGACACCAATCTCTCAACTGATACTGTATTTAATCTCATTGTGCGTCGTCCGCGCGTCGCAGGTGGCACTTTAACAATTCCAATCGATTCCAGTGTGAGACTTGTGAAGTGTTCTCGCGGTGAAGCCCGATACAATACCATTCGTCTTCGCTACGGTATATCGCGCAAGTGCCTCATCCTACGCGCATCCGATACACTTGAGCGCGATAAATGGCTTGTCGGAATTATTCAAGCAATGGCAGCCCTTCAGAACATCGGACCATACTTGCCAATTTCTGCAGTAGATTGAAAAAGCGCTCGCTGCTCTGTCTTCGTACCATTGCATCCTATAGAAGAAGCAACGACACGCTTTTATAAAACGCTAACAGTTAAATATCGACTATATTGACATTCAATTGCTAGCACATTCTAAATCTTTTACGCATCGTAACTTTTACATGCTTGAATCTTAGCATTTTCGAGCCAATAACCAAAGAAAACTGATTGTAATGTATAGCTAGCTATAAGTGCCTTAATCTGATTTGTACGTCCAAAACGTACATGCGTTTGTGAAATCGCTGTTTATTCTTCGTTTTCCTTACAATACCTCAAAACGTCCTCATTCTGTACATTAAATAGTAAGCACAGCGCTTATTGAAGAATTCTGGACCCTGGCATTGACATGCATTTTGAGACACTCACCTGGTTTGACTCCATTATTCTATGCTCTCGTGAGTAATGTCTGCGATCCTGGTAGATTCATTGTAAGCCATCTGGAAGCATACAACAAGTCTGACCTCCAAAATTGCCACTGGATTTGTGGAGCCATTATTTCTTGAGGTAGACACTCGTTTTCTGAAATCATGAGGATTACTTACTTTGAAAGCAATGGCTCTCACAAGACTAATAGCGCACAATACCCACTACAATTTCATTATTTCTCATCTTGCTTCTAACCAGCCAAGCAAACTCCACTTTTGACAAACGTCCCGGTTAAAGCTTCGCCTTCATTTAGATCCAATGGCGCGTGATCAACTCCAAGTTCAAGCTTGCAGTCTCATTTGGTGACCATTACCACTTGATGACATCTCCTTTAACTCTGCTAATGATTTACTATCTGTTTAGGTTTTTATGCACAGTGCATTTAGTACATGCAAAAAGCTTGAAGATTAAATGCTCGAACAAAGCGCCCTACATTCTCGTTATCAATCGTCCGCGGATCATAGGCGGAACACTTGTTATTCCACTTGACTCAACTGTAAAATTTGTAAAAAACTTGAACAAGGACATCGAGTGCAACATTATTCGTGTAGCTTATGGGTCAAATGGCAAAAAGCTCATCTTGCGAGCATCAAGCTCAAGCAAACGTGACTATTGGCTGGCTGTGATCATAGCATCCATCAAAGCTGACAGGCAGGTACATCAAAGATGGACTCAAAATAATTCGGAGCCGCGAACGGTCAAGAACGCAATGAAATTTCAATCAGAGCGATCAAGCAATGGTTCAGGAGCTAATAAAGAACATATCAAGGAGTGCGCTGTTCAATCTATTTCGGCTTCTGCTCAAAGCACTAAGTCAAGTATCTCAGCCACTAGCGAATCTCAATCGTATGCTTCCAAACATGACACTTCAGCTTTTCCACGGCCTTCCAAAGTCGCCCGTATTGCTTCGCAGAAGTGCTCTCGTCGGCAAGCATTTCGTCAGAATATTCCAGCTGTCATACAGCTTTTCATTACGGTCGGTCAGGCGATTGCTGCTGCGTGCTAAGAAAATTCTTAGAATAGTCGCTGTGACTTTATCCGTTTTCCGGATACAATGAAGCATCTCTTACCGTTATACATTTAATTAATGTAATGACCATTAGATCTTTTTTTGAAATCCTTGGGTACTTCTTTGAATTTTGAGCAATTTCTCACATATCAACATCAATAACTTACCTCCTGGAAACAGTTTACAAATTCACGACTCCTTTCGTATGTTCTGTCTATCCTGCATCATTTTTGCTCGCTGCATGCTGAAGGCGCCATGGTGCTGCTAAATACTCTATCAATTGTGACCGTCATTGAAAATACAAAATCGTTGAGGGTATATACGATATATAAGCTTAAAAGCATCGGTGTATTGTAGATTCGAAAGAGCATGATCGGAATTGAGGCTGGAGAATCAGCTTGTGAACTAGTTGGCGTAGGTAATGAGGAATTTTAAACAATGCTACTTAAAATTTCAAAGTAATTATTAAAGATACTTAGATAGAAGCAATCCCGCTTCAAAACCACCAACAAACATTTAGTGATTGCGAGCAATGATTGTTCAAGCTTATCTGGAGGCAGTACTGAAAGATTCAGCGGCAATCCTATGGCATGTGGATAGACAAGCTGATGCGGCACGTCGATCAAGTGGACATCGTATATCTGATAAGCTGCTGATTGCTCGAATAAAAAAGTACTAATGGCAAACTTGTTACGAAGAAATCCTAAAAGGCCAGCATGACGGCCGCCGAAGCTGCCGAACATGAGGCGGGAGGCTGTAACAGGGTATGTACCGTACGTACACACTACACTGAATATTGCTAGTTGAGCATTACCATGGCTGCCAGCCTCATGCTATGGGAGGTTTTCAATGCAGATAGAAAAACAGATGCTAACTTTGCCATTCAGTAATTAAATAACATATTATGTTGCACTCTTGAAATGAAAGAGAAAGGTAAGTAGTACCTATTTACTTAAAAGGCTCTCGCGTAAGAACCCATTCTCTGTGCGCTTGTGAAAGCAGACATATAGCAGCATAACTTCTTTTGTGTAAGGTGCACCTGTCCTTGGTAGCACTTGTCGTCAATTTGACAATCCACTACAAATAAGGCTGATTTCTTTGTGAGGATGGAACAACGACTGTTTGGCTATTTGTCCTTAGACAACAAGACGCGCAAATACTGCTGTGCTATACCAATGGGATTGCACAACAGTCTAAAGGCTGAAAGCAAAATAATAATTGCCTGGAGACGTTCATCATTTAAAAAATGCACTGGATAGACACCTCCAGAAACGCCTCAACAAGGTGTAGGTGGGCTATGTGCGATTCTTTTTCAAGCTTAGTAGGAAGAAAACGATCCTGGCTGCCAAACAGCACCGCGAAGTTTTCAGGCTGCATCGGAAGGCTGAGGCGGTGTGAGCCTCAAATTTAGGACGAAAGGGAAATATGGATCGTTTATCGTGGCCTTTGGAGCGTATCTCTATCAAGGCAGAAATAAGCGACGCTGTGTCGCGGTCCAAGAATGTATCGCTGGTGAGAAAGTTTGCTACAGATGTAAACGGAACCCTCAGAGATCAGCCCAGACCAGACGCATCAAGGCGACTGTGTGTTTTTGGCTCCCTAAGCAAGATAAGCGACTGTCAGTCGTTTAAGCTATTATGAATATCCCATTTTCTCATGATGTTAGGGCACTGCTTTGTCAGCACGACTGTGCGATGCGTTCGGCATGCGGAACAGTAAAGCATTACAATTTTGCGGCATGAAAATTATTTACTTTTGAATGGATCAACTGAAAAAAATCCTGGAATGCGTGTCTCCTCCCCTCATTGCTCACGCAGAAGCTCTCATTAGACTTTAAGGGGTATCTTCATAGGATATATGTTAGGAAATAATAGTCTATGAAGTCACGGTTGCTACCTGGAGAAGCTGAGCGCGTATTTCAGCATGAACGAGCCCGTTGTAAATGACACTTGCAGGTTCAATGAATAGTTCGGCTATCCTCTGGTATCTGACAATTCTTTATCTTTGTGATTGTTTGTTGAGGAAATACTACGACGTCGTGAACAAAGAAGTCACTACACGTGTTGCAAAGGGTGTGCAAGAAGTTGGCCTTTGTAATCAGGTAATCAAATATTGTGTCAAATGTCAATGACCAGTACCAATGGAGCAGAACGCTTCGTTCTGTACAAGATCACGAAGAGGGTTTGGTGACGATGACTAAACATCCCCATGTGTCGCCGACCTTCCAGACTAAAAGAAGTAAAATTTGTTTATATTTATGATGAGCAAAATGCGGACACTTTTTTGCTGCAGACTACAATTTCAAAATAGATCATATCATGATCGGTCGCACCTTAGTTATAGCTCTTGACTTAATTGATGCCTATAATCAGTTGGCCAAGAGTTGCAGTGGGATTTTTTGCTGCAAAAGTGCTATAAACGGGTTGGTTTCAGGATGGCTGGATACGCCATACGTTTGTTAACATCTACAAGTGTACCCCTGGCGCCCACAACATTCGAGTAGCATGTTCTGCAGGCAAGTTCTGCAAAGATTAAAAAAAATGGTCTGGCTAGTGCTGCTGCTCCAGAGAGACTTTAAGGAGTAAACTGACCTAATCAATCACTTTTAAAATTGAAGTGCAAATTTCGTCGAAATGACACGGCCCTTACCAAGCTTTAAAAATATGTCATGGAATCAGGGTGCAGCAGAAGCGATAACCTACAATACTGCAAACGAAATCCTCACGAGTGCCTAGTTCCAAGACTTCCGAAACTAAATGGGCTAATTTATGTCGTTTGTGACGCTTCAAAATTTGTCTCGGACTACCTGTCACCCTTTGTAGACACGAACGCGAAATCGCAATTTAGTCACGCCAGCCTAAAGCGGCAGAATGGATATATACAGTTCACGACAAGGTGCTAGCATGCACTTGTCAAGTTCAGTGAACATCTGCTTGGCTCCATGCCATTTTTGATCTATACAGACCATGCGTCGTTGCGCTCAGCATCTCCTTCATCACATCTCTTGCAATAAAATGCGAGATGATTATGTTTAGGACCGAGTGTACCTCCAATTGAAGATAAAAGCGGGTGTGGTGGCGGATATGCTTTTACATCACACAGACTATGAACTGGTGCGTGGCGTTGCGGAGTGATGGGGCTAAACGTACACCGTAAGCTTTGAACGTAAAGTGTGCTCCATTCTTGGAATCTTCAGGAAGAAATATGGTTTCAAGTTGGACATTGCTTTGTCAAGACACTTGGCTGCACAGTGGAACCACTAGTTTGTGTTTCAAAGTATGTGATATCACCGCGCAAAACCTCAGGATCCCTAAGGTTTGGTGGTATCTTTTAACGCGTTTTCAAGTATACAGTACTGGACGAGGCGCACATTCCCCCCTATGTGACAAGACAGAGGACATACGGGTCAGAGAGTGATATGTACTGGTTATTCAGCAATTATCCATGTGCAACTCGAATGTGTGTGATTAGAATATATGCCTTCGGTTACAACAGTAACTTTTTGGTCAGCGCCATCGGTCAGTAAAGTGGTTCCTGCAGAATACTGGTATTTGACATTTTGAACTAAATTCTGGTCTGTTAAAAGAGAACCAGCGTAACGATACCGATAAGCCGTTCCTCTGCATATTTTTCGCCATTACGACTTGTTGGTTACCAATCTTTCGGATCAAGATCGCACTTTGCGGCGAAGTTGTGGCGATTTTGGAAGCACCAGATATAAAAGATTTTTTACTGACGATCCCGCCAAATGCTCGGCAAGACAATTATCACTTGGTAACAGAGATCATCTCAAATACTTGCTCAAGAAGAGGCACAGGACCGGTAGAATTGCTTCTGTTCTGTGAGCGTTCAGTAGATAAAGAAGAGCACGCCTGGATGCCTGGACGTACGTGATTTAATTTTAAAACGGCAGGTTTACTCCCAGATTTCTTTGATACCATCACGAAGTTACAGTTATCCGGTGCGGTAGTGGCTGTCCATGAAATTTAACTCGCTAATCAGCCCGGCTGCACTTTTTAGCAAAGCTTGATTCATGTCCTGATAAGATTGAGCGTTTTGCACCGAGTGTGCAACGCAGTGATTGAAATCAAGTATAGATAATGGCAAGACGATGATGTTTTGAAGACAAAACACACGTGACTTCGTAGTGGTAAGAAATATTATATCAAACGCTTTAAGTCTACTTACAGATTCAGCGTCTGTTATTCTGATGGCCAAGTTGCGCTCGGAAATTACGGTCATAGCCAGAAATGTAATATGTTACAAGGTCAATACTTCGAAGAGAGTGTTAGCACCTTTTAGCCCCTTGCACAAAGCCGTGCTACAACCCCGCTCTTGCGAGCCATTGGGTGCGGATTTTTTTATGCAAACAAAACATTGTCAAAATATTTTTTGCACACAAAGAACATTTTGCTTTATGACTGCGATACTACTCTGTGTCACTTATCGTACTCAGTTTAATTGCGTAGGTTCGAGAGCGTACTATAAATCGGCTCATATCAGCTTTGATGTGACGGAAATTGCCTGTCTGTGTACACACACTTACTGAGTAAGGTGTCGGCGAACTGACGCGCCTAACCGCGTGTTACTCACTTCCAGCGAGCCATTGACTTACGTGATGAGGAGGTAGGTGAAGTGATATTTATTATTACAGCCAATAGGCTTTAATCCTCCCTAACCTGGGATGTGCCCCCAGTTCTTATACAGTCGAAATGAAGGGTATATACAGCTATAGGGGTAAATTTGTTACCAAACACACAAGTATGTGGTACACACAACATGTGTAATGGATCTGGCCCAATACATATGACCTCAAGTCGATAATTCGAAGGTAGCCGTTGTGCTGCCATGACTCACGGAAATAAACGCGAGAGGGTCATACTTCTCCTGTACAGTAGAACCTGTCTAAATTAAACCTGTTTAGTTTAAAACCCGCTCTAAATTAAACAATGTCCCCAGTCCCAACATGTTTAACTTAGACAGGTTTTACTGTATCTCTTGATGAGAAAGGAATCGCCAACAGCCACGTAGAGTGGGCAGCAGGCAGGCGGTTTCCCCGGGACTGTGACTAGTATTTGATGATACTATCGCATCAATCAAAAGCATTAAGGTCCTCCATTCCGCTTCGGCAAGACTGACCATGCGCCTTTGCCGCTTGTGATAAAATGTATTTTTCGTCAGAAATTCCTTTAGGAAACGATACAGGGTCGCGCCACCCGACGTGCTCCCCACTAGCAGGTGTAAATCAAAAATTTCTTGGTATATGCACTTGATCGGTAGTTACAGCGATATGTCTTTATAGACGAGCTAGTCTATTGGTAGCCCAAACCTGCGATGGTGAGCATCATCCTTCGTGCTTTGTACTTCGTAAAGACAATGATTAAAATCATTTCAGTCTATCTCCGCCTCATTGGAGCTGGCCTATGAAGATGTATAATGTGTGAGGCGACGTGCCATCTTCACCCACAAGAATCGTGTATGATACTCGTCAAAATATTCGTCAGCGTCTGCTATCAAAGGGTTTGTCTTTATGGAAATAGGGTATCGCCCCTTCGCAGCAGCAGAATTTTGGATGAGTGACAGCGTGAGGGATCAAAACGCTTGTGGAGTGCCGTTCGAGGACTCTTCTAGCTCTAATATGAGTGAAAAGCCCACACGCTCAGCTGTGTTAGGAACCCACTGTACCGCGGTGCGCCACTTCTAAGGGACTAATTTCATAACCAAATGTGACTATTTTAAAAAAGATGTTTTTACTCTTGCACTTACAGATGGGCAAGCCCGGCTCGTTAAACCCGATTCTTCGTAACCTCCTCGACAAGAAAAAGTAGCACTTGTTGCCGGAGGAACTTGTCCTGAGTGCTCGATTTGTCCAGAGAAAGGAGAAGCGTAGAGAGCGCGTCATCCTCGACAGCTTTACTGTAGGTCTTTTGATGTGAGCAAAGGTCTAGGGTCGGGACACGGGAACTCTATATAATAGTTCTCGTCGGAGAACACCTCGACTGTCTCCCTCAGTACAACGCGTAGGCTGTCGGTCGTAGGGTCGCCTTTCTAAGTGGCTTATAGATTTATTTGGGTAGAAGTAGGAGACGTTCCGATGTGCATTAGGCACAAGAAGTGCAAAGTGCAATATTGGGAGAGAAACTGGAGTGCCCACTGTCGCACAGTGTCACAAATAGACAAGATGCTTATGGTTTAAGTACGTGACTTACTCGCCATTGTCGCTTTGGTGTCGCGGACTTAAAACCAAGCCCAGAAGTACAATAGTATGGTACCATGATAAGGTTGCAGTACTACTTTTTTCAAATGGGGTAAATATGACAAACAAGAGGTCCGAAAGACACTCGAGCTGATAGGCTTGCGCTATGCAATTAGTAAAAATGTAATACTGTAGATTGTAGAACATACATATTCAGCTTTACATTGCCAAACTTCTTCTAAATATACAGCAATCTTTACACGCTCATGTCTAGCGCCAACGATTTCTCTGTGCAATGTGCACGGCTCCCCGTCACTAATGTCATGCATTGGGCAAGGAGAAGTGATAACTCCAGTTTGCTTTATCCAGTGCTACCCAGCATATCTTTGACCACATTGCCAGATGTGGTGTCAACAATGACCACACGGAATGCAGGACTTCGGACAAAGCGATGCGACCGGTCTCTTTGAGCTTTCAAGGGTCACAACCTAGCTATCCCACAACATCTCGATTTCTCGACAGCCCAAGAAGATCAAAATTGAGATAAAGTTAAGAAAGCAAGTCGCGCCATAGCCATGTCTACTACGTCGAGGGGCTCTCTCAGCATCGTTTTTTAACCCTTCAACAACTGCAGTATTATATCCATCGCTGGATAAAAAGCTATCGTATTCGTATACGGCAACCTCAATGGTCCGCGTACTGTTGACGTTCTCGAGAGTTGCGTCACGCACGAGACGTTGATGCTAACTACAACCGATTCTAGACTGAATGTCACATCTTTCGTGATAAGAGTCACATTCTATATTTCTGGGTCTCACTTACTTCGACCTACATAACGTGCAACATCACTACGTCTTACTCATCAGACCGCCCTGCTCATCTTGCAACCCCACGTTACCCACGAAGGGTATTTTGATTCATTCTGTGTATAACCTACCCCCTGTGCCTAGCAATCGGGCGATATAGATAGGCACGGTGATGCTCGGCAGAAAAAAGACAATGATCTTCCTCCTCACCTTAGCTGAGGTACATTATTTCTGTCGCGCTCTTGAGGCCTATAAAAATTGAGCTCTATCTGTATTTTGCGGCACGAAAGCTGTGCCCGCCTATAGTCCGACACCCACCGCAGTATCGAAAGTTGTGGGGCGGACTATTTTGGTTTCGGTGTGATCTGAAGCTGTCCGAAATATCTTCACTAAGAGGGCCTCGTTTGCCGTTGCCTCAAGATGAGGGTCTGCTGCCATTGCATCAATAAAATTTTTGATCTTTTGAAATAGTCCACTACAGCTCATAATCGGGGAGGCACGAAATGCCTTTGCCACCACATCAAACTAACCCAGCTTATATCTTACCTCAAAGCTTTACTCAAAAAAAAGTAATCACATTGCTGTCTCCTGTGAGCGGTGTGGTCGTAACGACGCACGATCTGTATAGATCTCAAACGACTTCGACCCAAGCAGGTGCTTTCTGAACTTGACAAGGGCATTCTTTTTTGCGAACCGCTCTTTGTCATAGATGGGTTCTTTTTACCCACAACTATTAGCTGGCGGCATCATAATTCAATCATGTAATGGTACCTGCTTGAACTAGAGAATGAAGCGTCACAGATACACAGAATGATCGATCTGGATTCGGCAGCGCCAGAATTGGGGCATGTATAAGGCTTGTTTTGACAATATTTAACGCCAACTTTTCAACTACGCCACAACATCACTAAGCATCTCGTAGGAGAAAGTTGAGAAATCTTGCCACGCCAGTATCGTTAAGCTGTACTTATGCTAGTGGTTGGCCAATCTAAGCCACGTTGTCAGGTTCTTTTTGGAGAGAGGCATTAATCAATCAGCACTTGCCTTTGTCTTCGCGGGATAATATGCCCACAGGAATGAAGAAACAGAAGAAATAGTTTGTGCCGGCGCTAGCAAATCACTAGCTAATGTTGATGAATATCCTGTTTTAACGCAAACTACTCGATCGCCGCTCGCAAGTGTTCAATCTGGCTTTCTACATCCGACTTCCTATACTATGCAGAACTAAATATAAAACAAATCGGTTTGTGCTTCGCCACCAGAAGTTCAAACGCTGCTGGTGTATTACACAGTCGCTGTGGAAAATTCGGGTACCCTCAGATTATTTCCCTCACAGCGAGAGGTATATCGTTTTCTATCACCAGCTGTTGCTAACAAGCTTAGACTAGATCAAGGGATCTGAAAAAATGCAGCGACCATGCTGTTCAGCAGCGCGCCCTTTCAAGGTATCAGCGTCTGCACCAAAATGATGGCTGCAATTAGTTAGTAAGCATGCGCAGCTCCCCACTTGTCGCTAACCTTTCTGACACAGGAAATCGGAACCGAGTTTGGGCATTAACTTCCCCCCCAATCTTTGCGAAGAAAAAAACGTCATTGACAACACACTGATCCCCTGGCAAGCGCCTCTGCTGTAACGTGCAAATATTTGCTCCCAGGATTAAAGCCAATTTCATGACGCCTCTCTATCTAGGTTAACATGCGTGGTGGATTTTTCGTCGCCATATTGTGATATTCTTCATAAAGAACGAAGGGCCCGTAGCAATCTTGAGAATTGCTATACCACTCTTCCCACTCGTTGCTGAGCGTCTCAACAATAGATAATTTTATTACGGATGACGAGCTCAGCTCCATTCCTGTTACCAGCTGTACAATTTAGTGCATTCACAGTCTTACAGAGCGCTTGTCATAGGTAGTGAAGAGAGGCTTGCTAACCCAAAGGCGACTTCGGTACTCCATTCATGAAATAATCTATTTCATCGCTTGTTCGTGGAGCTTCATTGTTCCTTACAATCGGCCCATCATACGTTGGTGCTGACTCAGCAGTACCGCCGCTAGTTAACAAGCATGAGCCATCTTTCTTACCTTCGAGGCCTGGCCCTTTTACTTGCAACTTACTTTTGCCCTTCGACTTCATTAATTAAAAGCAAAGTAGACACGTGAGGGGTTCTGCGGAGCTGCTTAGCTCCTCCTCAGAAAGGAGAAATCTACCGCCTCTGGTGCGTAGAATTTTTAAGTTTCTAGCAGCCCATCCTGCCTTCGCGACATGTGACTTGTGCTTCGCACTGAATACGACGCTCACCACTCCTCAAGAAAGATAGGGTGGATCGGAAAGCCTCTTTACGAGCCACACCTGTTTAATAGCCGTCATGACGATTGTAACCGCTACTGTCTCCGAGGGAGGGTCAGATGCAAGATTTACTATTTCTAACCCTGGACATACTATGCCAGTTGTCGCCTCTCTTGACGGGGAGACTAGAACTTCGAGCCCCTTCAATAAGCCTGGTTGGGCTGGTGCGTTCATCACCGACAGTTTATCGCTTAAATCATTTCCACGATGTGAGCGCATCTTCTATCGGGCTGTTGCACATAACTGTTCATTCTCACGCGCGACCCCTAGCTTGGAGATTGCAAGCGCGACACGTTGTGGCACCCTTTGAAGTATGACAAAACTCATGGCCATCTCGACCTCCCTCTCTCATTCAAAGGGTTTTATCTGCTCTAGCCCTGAGAAAGTGATTGACATTAGCGGTCTCACGATGAGACAGATCTGCTCCTCCACCGTCGCACTCTCAAAGATAGTGATCTTTTCCAATCGAGCAAATACCGCTTTCGAGCCTTTGGCCGTCAATTGTCTAAGCCCACCGGGATCCGAGATTGACAAAAGCTTTTAAGCTGGTCTATGCTGGTATATATGTTCTGGAAGCAGGCGATCAAGCGCGTCATGTTCCATCCTCGCAGAAGACACATTCTCTCCAGAATTAAGAGTGACTACAAGTGCTATCAAGTGCAACGGTTTTGCCGTGCACTTTGACTCCAGAATTTGTGTTAACAATTGCACAGAAATCAGATGTCGTGTGTACTTACAAGGTGGAACCGAGAGCTTCTCAAACAACTAACATGCTAGTTTGCCCTGTTGAATTTTAAAGTACATTTATGTACTCTAAAACTCAACAGGGCTAGACTCAATCTTATTAAGCTTAATATACATTTTAATTTTCTACACAAGTATCACCAGGTGTAATGTGAATATTGTTCAATTGTACCGTATTAATATTAATAAAGGCTGATTCCAAAAACAAAACGTTTCGTCGCTGGATCCGCTGCGTCAACGAGTGCATGGGTGAAGGGTACACTATTGAACAATGGTATGATTTTGCTCTTGAAAAAGGCAAGAAAACAGAAATAGAAGTGGTGACGTTATTACAGTCGCTCTTGAATTATAAGGACACGGCGGGGGCGTATTAAGTGTGTAAGGACCAATTACAGTACTTGCCCGTTCGGATGCGGTGCGAACACCCGCGACATGTATCGATCGCTTCAACACGTTTTTTGTAGTGCCTCTTCTCCAAAAGTACTGCACGTACGTACCTATGCCGGCGCATTGATGCTCCATGCGGAGCATCGCTGAAAATATTGCAATGCCAAACTCTCTTGATCACTTAAAGAGAACATTTCCATCTTTGATCAATTTTGCATAAGCAATTTACTCTCGAACTAAGCACAAGTTAGAATCAAAATATTGCTGTAATGTTTACAATCTCAAACAAAATACAATCATGATACCGGTATGATCCTGCACTAAGTGCGACCCTTACGTATTCATTAAACAACAAATATGCCTGTGTCACGAGCACCTGTATCAAAGCGCCTGCGCTGCGTCCCTGAATTCTTCTGTATGAGTGTCTTAAACGAGCATATTGATGAAATGGGAGATCCACCGATGCGTATGGGGTTGATTGAAGGCAAGGATTGGCCTGATGTCTACAAATTCATGGACCACTTTGAGCTTACGCATCCGGGACGTCGCATGAAGCTCGTTATCTTGTTGCGTCACGGAGAAGCCACACACAACGCCACGAAAGCTAGTGTGGGCAGCAAGTTGTGGCAAGAGAAGTACGAAATGCTTCCTGAATTTATTGACGCCCCGCTCACAACCCGCGGCAAGAATCAAGCTGATTCTGCCGCTTTGATCCTTGAAAAGCAGATCACCAAGAGCGGCCTTAAACTGCAACGCGTGTACGTGTCCCCTTTGGACCGTACTTTGCAAACGTACGATAGGGTGTTTAATCGCTTGCGAGATATTCCTGTGTCCGTCGTGGAGCTCGCTCGCGAGACGCTGGGAGTCGTCAACTGTGACCGTCGTGGCTTCTTAACCCCAAAACAGACCGCGTACCCGCAGATGGATTTTAGCCGCGTGGCCAGCGAGGACGACACATGGTGGCAGCCCGACCACCGTGAAACCGCCGAAGAGATCGCTAAACGCGCTGCTGAATTTTTGGATGAATTATTTGATAAAACCTCCGAACGCTGTGTGCTAATTGTTTCGCACAGTGGCTTCAGTCGTGGCTGTTTCGCAGCCGTAGGTCATCACTACTACCGACCGAGGAATGCAGAGTTCATTCCACTGTTAATCACGGATGCGTTTGAAGAGGAGCTGCACTAGAAGATACGTCAATAAATTTAGCTTGTTGCACTTGCTTATTCGTTCCTACAGATTTGATTACGACATTTTAAGGATTGTAAATGGATGCCTTTTGATCCGGATATTTTCTATGCTTCTTCCCATCTTGGCCATCGCCACCTCTTGAGCTGCATCATTTCAAAATATCACGCCAACGAACCACCCCCAATGTTCCTGAATCTCTTCTGCGCGCTGCTTCTTGTGAAGACGTCGGTTCATGGTCAGCCGGCAACTTCGTCTCACTATCGCTATGTCCCAGGATATTTCCTTCAGGGACTTCCCGACCAACCTGTACCACCTTCATACCCTCCTCACATGGGTCTTTTGGATGGAAAAAAATGGCAAGATGTACAAGCAGAATTGGCTGTGGAGAGACCTGGAGGCGCACAAGTAAAACTTGTGGTCTTTCTGCGCCACGGCGAAGGT